CCATTGTTGGCGACGTGGCCTGCATTATTATTGTGTATCTGATTTCTGTGGTCATTACTGTGGCCCGAGTGCTCTAGTTGTTTCTGTGGTGATTATTTATAGTGGCAACGTCGGCCACCTGATGTGCAGCGCGCCATCGGCGGCGCTCGAGGGGCAGTCGGCGCGATAGGCGGCCGCCCATTCCATCCATCGCCACTCCCCCTCCTCCCTCCTCTTTCCTCCCCGCTTCCCCCTCCCCCCTCCTAGTCCCTCCTCCTTCCTCAGAGCCTCCCTCCTCCATCCCCGCTCCCCCATTCATCATCGCCCCTCAACATCCACCGCCTCCTCCTCCTCTTCTGTGCTCACTTCTGTCTGTCTGGCGGTCTGCGCCATTTCTCCTTGCTGACTGACTGGCGCGGCGATCGGGGCTCGCGCCTGTGCTGAGAACAACGCGTGCTCAGCGGAGACGATCTCTCCCTATTTGATTCTGGGTCTGGGGGCCCAGGTGTCACCAGGACAAATTATTCATTGATTCCTTCACAGTAGTGGTAACACTACTTAGGGCTTTTTTTCGCTCGGGCCCGAAGGACTTGGGTGGGTCGGCCGAGGTTTCGTCGTATACGTGAGCGCCCCCATGGCGCAACTTATGGCGCCAGTATTATGGCACGGCCTATGGTGGCGCGCAACCAATGGCGCAACCTATCCCCCAAATAATGATTATGGCGCAACTTCTGGCGCACCAACTTTGGCGGGTCGGCCGAAGTTTCACTGCGCGGGCGCCCCCATTGCTCAACTTATGGGCGCATCCTACGGCGCAATCTATGGCGCAACCTGTGGCGCACAAGCTTGCCCGCCGCTGGGTGAAAGAGGTGCGACTGCCACCGCTCACCACTCGACAGATCAGTCCGCCTAGCGAGAGGGCCCCAACCGCCAGCAATGATCAGCTCCTCCTCTTCTTGCCTTTTGATTTTGAAGGGGGCCTTTTCTGATGCCCGTCAATGGCTATTCTGCGCTCCGACTGCGCGGTAATAATAACTGGCTGTTTGTTCGGGGCCCACGTCTGCAAGCGCATCGCCATGTCGTCGGAGGAGGTTATTAAGGCCAAACCGTTGATCTACGCGATACGCCTGTCAGAAAACAGGGGGCGTCTCTGGGTTGGCAGAGGAGGAGAAAGGAGGAGAAGGAGGAGAATGAGCGCCCATGGTTCAGGATGAGGTCCAGCAGCACTTACTGGAATCTCGATGCAGCAGCCATCGATCGAGGCGCGACGCGAACTTGCATATGTTAAGTCCTTAGCCTCGTCGAGCTTGGAGCCCAGGAGGCTGGCGAGCGAGAAATCGCGCGCGCTTTCTGGCTCGCCAGTCTGGAGCGCTCCGGACTGGCGAGCGGGCTGGCGCTGAGCGTAAGTAACTCTGGCGAGCGAGAAATCGCGCGCGCGATCTGGCTCGCCAGAGTTACTTACACTCTCCGGGTAGTGCTCTCGCCAGCCTGGAGCGCTCCGGATTGGCGAGCGAGAAATCGCGCGCGCTTTCTGGCTCGCCAGTCTCCTGCGTCTCAAACTCAGCGAGGCAGCGGACTTAAGACATGCAGGGTATGCAGATAGTTCATACATGACACCTGGCGCACCCTACCTAGGATAGACAGAGATGCGAAGCCTGCCAATCAAGCCGAACGATACCATCATAATGCTCCTCCCTCCTTCTTCGTTCTTCCCTCCATCCATTCATCCTCCACCCTCTTCGCTTACTCATCACTCCTCCCTCCTCCTCCTCCTCCTCCTCCTTCTTCTTTCTCCTCATCTTCCTCCTTCTCATCATCCGCCCTCCCTCCTTCCTTTCATCCTCCTTCTTCTGGCGCACCCGCCCCCCTCCCTCCCCCCGTAGTATTATTCTTCCTATCTCCTCTCCTCCTCCCTTCGAGGATGAGGGGCTGACCGAGATGGGGCCCGGCGACGCGACCATGTAATGTGACGCACATACAGTATAAATACATCACGTTTATAGCTGGTCCGTGCCTATACATAGCCATGAGGCTCAGACAGACAATCAGCCCAAGATTTTTGGGTGTATGATGGATGATTTTTCTGCGTCTACTATGCCTTATTTCAAGACCGTGCGGCGGAAACCAGCCGCGTCCAAGCATGTCCCCCCCCCCAGAAAAAACGGCCCGATGGAGCACCATCTGCAATGCCTACGACACCTGTCATCAAACGACAGGTCCAGAAGCGCCGCCCCGCCCAGAATAAGATCCCGACTGTCATCATTCTGAATAAGGATATCTTCAACGCGACCCTCGCCCTCAATATAACCCCTATTCCGCGGGATTGGGCTGGTTTGATGATCAACTCAGAGAACCCGCTCATCATAGGGACGGACTGTGCTGGTCTTTGTTCGATCGAGCAAGGGCTTGAACGTAGTCGTTTGGCTCGCCATGTTGTTGCCGCTTTCGCCTCTGAGAAAGACGAGAAGACCCGATTTGTGCTCGCCAAGAACTTCGCGCCCGGGGCCCTGTTCGGGGACATCTGCGAGCGGAGTACCACGGACGTCCCCCAGGTGCACTTCTACAACGCGGGGTTCCCGTGCCAACCGTTCTCGGCTGAGGGGGGCGGAGGACGGGGGCTAACAACTTGGGACGCTAAAACCCATGAGATGTATGCCCTCCCTGTTGTTGTTCCCAAGGGTCAACGTGGTCAAAATAGTTGGGGGCGTTCCCAGGGTTGAGATTCACGTATGCCCCCACCCTCCCGCCGCCTCATCCTCATAATCCAATTTACGTATCCTGCTCAACCCATTTCTTCTCCCTCCCACCTTGCTACCCCTCTGCTCATGATCACCGCGCTCCTCCAGTCAGTCTCGTCCTCCTTCTCCTCATCGCATCCTGCCCGCAACTCCCTCTCTCTGGCTCCTTCCTCCCCATCCTCCTTTCTCACTCGCCTCAACCCATCATCCCCCGCCTCTCTCTCCCTTGTCTTCATACTTCTACTCCCCCCTCTCCGTTCGTTCTCATCCCTCCCGCTGCGCTGATGGCGAACCTGAATCGAACCGACCGCCCCCCCAGGAGGCCTCTTCGCAGATAAGCACAATCGTGGAGACGCTTGCGCTGAAACCATAGAGTACATCCGACAACGGAAACCTATGTTGTTTATGTTGGAGAACGCGTCGGGTTTGGCTCGTTCGCACAAGCGCGACATGGATGCGATCATCGCGCTGATCAGTGACGTCAAGACCGCAAGCGGCCAGAGCGAGTACAAGATCCTACACGCAACCTTGGACACGAAGCTGCACGGTGGACTCCCTCAGTCCCGACCGAGAGTCTATGCTGGGGCGTTGCCCTCTGCCGCCAGACCCCCTCCCTGACGTTCTGGCTGGCTCATCGGTTGGTTCGTCCTTGGATTGTTGGCAAGTAAGTTTGATGCCAAATGGCTGGTTGGATGTTGGCTGGTTGGCATGGTTCCTGGTTGGGTGGCTGGCTTATCGGTCGGTCGGCCGGTTGGTTAATTAGCGGGCTGGTTGGCGGGTGGTCTGTCCGAAAGGTTCTTGCGTTGATGAATGAGAATGCCCGCTCAGGCACTCGCTCATGCGACCCCCTTTCAACCGACAAACTGGCTAGTGATGCTAATAATGTCACTGACCCCTGGAGAGGGGATGGGCGGGAACCCCGCGACAGTGAAATGGCCTGACGCCTTTGGCGCTCAGCCAGCGGACATTATCGGCGCTCTCAAGAGCGCCATGAGACGTGATCTTACTTGGCCTAACCCGATTCCAATGCAGACCCTCGGCAGCATCCTCCTTGCCCGATCTGGCAACGATAAGTTGGCCCCTTGGCAGATTGGTAAGAGAGATGCCATGCTTGCCCACATCAACCAAACAGACCCCTATCAGCGTGATGTCTGGGTTGGTGATATTCAGAGCGGCCGGGCATCTAGCAAGCCCATGTGTGGGATAGTCCCGTGCCTCACTCGCAATCGGGCTGGCGAGGCAGGGCATTGGGTGTTTAAGAAGTGCAGGTGGCTTCACTTAGAGGAGATCGAAATGCTCCAAGGCATGGAGCCTGGTCGCATCGACTGGACGGGCCTCTGCTCAGAGCGGGCCTATAGGCAAATGATCGGCAATGCTTATACTGTGACGGTGGCCACGCGCGTTGCCTTGCAGTTGCTTCGCTCAGTCGTGCATGTGAAGTGCCTGCCGCTCTTGGAGGACCCCTGGGCCTAGAATTGAATGCTCGTGCGGTCTGCGAAGCAGTGTATTATTGAAGAGCGCCGGTCGCTCCCATCATTCTTCCTCCCTTCTCTCTCCCTCTCGGCCCCCTCCATGCACGCCTCCTCGCCCCCTCCTCTGCTCCGCCCGCGCATCATCCCATGCATGTACTGTCTGGTTCTGCGCGCTAGTACAACGCGTGGAAATACGTTTGGCCCACGGCAACAAAAAATGATCACATGGGGGATCAAGACCATCCACGCGTGCAAATCAATTTAGCATAGCGACGCCCTCACCCCCGGCGGCCAATCCCACAACCCTCCTTGCTAGATAGACGGGCTGCGCGCTCTCTGAGGACATGCTGGCAAACGTGGACCTCAAACAGTGAGTCATCTTATTCCGGCTTATCTCATGTGCACGCCGCATTCCAAAGCAAAAAGCGCACATGTAGCGAAACCTTGTCCGATCCGCCCAATCGGTTGCGCCATGAACGCCCGCGTGGCTTCTCTTCGGCCGACCCACTCAATTAATTTGTTGCGCCACAGGTTGCACCTGAAGGGCGCTCGCATGGCGAAATCTGGGCCGACGCGCCCGGTTCCTTGGGGCCGAAACAAGATCTCTAATATGATCTCTAAGTGCATGCACTGCTTGGGAGACTGTTCATATTGTCAGGTGGCACACATACTAGAACAATCCATACATACTGAGCGGTTTTGGCTTAAGATTTCACTGCCAGACTCATCTCAGCCAGCAGGGTCGGCTGGCTATCTGCGCCCACTCACTGCCACTGCTACTACTACTACGCGGACTCGCTGCGGAGACATCATGGCACCCAAGAAGCAGCCCAAGGCCGCAGCGAAGAAGAAGGCGGCCCCTGAGGGGGAGGTTGTCGGCGAGTCGACCGGGTCGAACAACGTCGCCAGAGTTGGGAAGCTCGCGCCGCTCTCGAAGGAGGAGCTCGCTGTCAACGCCGAGATCTACGCGACTGTCAATGCGTCGCTGGAGCTCATCGAGAGTAACCCCGTCTTCTCAGGAATTAGAGACATGGCGCCCCTGTCATTGAAGGTCGCTGGGGACGACGACGCCAATGATGACGACCCAATGAACTGGGGCCAGATCGCGCCCTTCGACGCCGAGACTTTCACGGACACCTTCAAGACTACGGGGCGGGTCACCTGTGGCATCAATTTCTTCGCCATGGATGTTACGCACAGCGCTGCGCCAGGGATTCCGATTCGCAAGAAGGCGGTGTCATCCCTGACGGAGCACTACTATGATCAGCCTGCATTCTTCATGGGCTCCGTGACCATTGGCGTGGCCAAGGATAGCGACGACGTTCCGAGCTTGATGGCGTCGCATAGTCTGAAGCCCCCCTCCCCAGAAGAGAAGCGCTTCGCCTTCGTCGAGGCGATCGCGCGGGACATTCGGGCTGGTAAGGGCGACTTCGTGCTCAAGAGGTGGAGGCATTTAGGTTTCCGAAGTCACCTGGTCGTCGCCTCCCCACCCAGGGGGGCGTGCAACGCACGCGCACGCAACACCAACCATCCAAACATATCAGAGCAATGCCATACTATATAGTTGTTACGTCCGTGTGTGGATGTTCGGATGTAGATTTTAACGTTAATGCATATACATAAGTCAGCAGTGGAATCATACATCAAGTATTGCACGGTCTGCCAAGCTATTCTAAGATGAGTGTTCAGACGTTTGTTTGATGTTATCTCCCCGGTGGTTTCCCCCAGGCAGCGCGCTCTGTCAGTCAGCGCATGCTTCGTGGATCTGTCGACTGATGACGCCCTGCACTGGCAGGCAGTGCAAGAGAGAGAAGATTTCGGGACAGACTTCGAGGCGATGCGTCGCAGCGCCGTGCAGCGCCTCTACGAAATCGTGAACTACAAGAAACGCAAGGAGGACCTTTTGAAGAACACCCTCACCACGCTGCAGCTCCAGGAGGAGTACAAGAAGGTGAAGCTGGGATCGTACAGCGAGGAGATCTCCGACACGTTCATTGAGATGGCGCTCAAGGTCCACAAAACCTGTTTCGGCATTCAGTCGATCTCGAAGCTCCTGCTCATGTGCGATTCAGAATATGGCAGCCGCAACCCCTTTGACTACCTCACCAAGTTGGACAAAATCAGCCGGCGGGCCAAGGGTGACGAGCTTTCGTGGGTTTTCCATGCGCTCCATGATGCCTGGAAGTATGGTTTCATGACAGACAGCGGCCTGTCCCTGAGATCCATCGAAGGCAAGGGCACGCTAGCCGGCAAGAGCGTTGTTGACATCGCCATTTTCAAAATGAAGCTGAGGGATCTGTTCATGGAGAAATTGGCCGATTTTCCCCAGTGGACGGAGGAGGTGAAAAGCAAATTCAGGGTCGTGTGCGCCGGCCACTTGCTCTTCCGCGAATTCAACGGGTGCCCAGACGAACGCGCTAACATCACCTGGAAGGCGGGGTGGCCGCCGAGCGCGGTGGAATACCTTGCCTTCATCGAGGATACCCTGGGGTCAAAAAAATGCTGGGTCAGCATCGTGTTGTGCGTTTTCGGGCTTCGCATGCTTTCGGGGCTTTCTGGGCTGATGTTCCAGAAACTTTCTGGATTGATGTTTCAGAGGTTTTCTGGATTGATGTTTCAGAGGGCTCTGGATAGATACTTTGATGTTGTCGCTAATAACTAATCAGTAGCTCGGAGATTGAGTCCACGTTGTCTGTGCACCACTAGCATCAGGTTTGTATTCCGCATTTCCCTTTTGTAAAGATTCGTCAATTTCTGAACGTGCTGTTCCTGAAGGGCGATCTGGTTCGGCACGATATTTTCCCAAGGTGGTGCTGCTATATAGCAGGGGCAGGGTATAGATTAGTAGGCTGAACGCTGACTGGTAAAGTACTTAACTATTTGATTTACCTCGCCTGAAGGACGCCATATTCGGTTCAGCAACTATGAGTTGGCAACCCGCCGTCGCGCAGTGCGTCATGCACAGGAAGGGCGCTGGCGAGTTTTTCGAGCTCAGCAGCGTGGATGAGCACATGACACATCAAGGAAATGGCGCATTTGGAGGTCGGGACGAAGCCGCCGGAGGAGAAACAGCCTGCCAACGAAGTGGACGTGAAACTTGATGATGAGACCGGTGACACTACTTCGCTGACCAACCCGGAAAATATTCAGCTGGTCTCGCCGGGGAATCTCGTGATCGACGTGTCTGCCAAAAGTGCTGACGAGATGCAGAAGTTGAACCTCTTCAAGAGGAAGGTCGCGGAGCTGGTGCGGTCCCACGTGGAGTCCGTCCCCGACATGACGAAGGAATGCGATCTCATCCAGGCGCTCAAGAACACGGAGGCTGGGAGGATCAAGGGCTCCAAGAACGTCGAGAACCCTGCTCAGTCATCCTACGTTGCCATCGTATACGACTCGAAAGTGTCGGGCGAATGCTCCCATCGGCCCCATCTGAGGCAGGTCTACTTTCGCTCTGAACACTGCAAGCGGTTGCTCAAGGTCGCGCTCAACCTGAAGGAGCCCGATGCGATCGCGGACGGCGACCTCTACATCCTGCCAGACGGTGGCAAGCACGGTCACAGAGGGGTAGCAATGCAAGATAGCGATGCAATGCATACATACGTGCACATGGGCACATGATACACGTATAAAGTACACGTGCACAAGCACATGCATATGCATACACAAACGCATAGACATAACCATTTGCACATACATGAGCGAACACATCTAGATCTACAGTACATATGCGTGCACATGTGTATATATATATGTATACACTCACACCTACAAGTACATGTACATACAACTGTATACAAGCAAGATCTAACACATATATGTTATATATCGACATATCGATACATACACATATATCCACACACCTGCATGTACAACTCGTATATATACACATATGTACGTCAATATACACATACAGCGATACACACACATGCATGAAGTATTTGTCCTCTGACAGAGAATGATGAGGAAAATGAATAGGAGGAGGAGGAGGAGAAGGAGGAGGAGGAGGATGCGGGTGGAGGAGGGGCTAGATCTCACGATCTGATAAGGGGAGTGAGGACTAGCAATTAGTCCGCCGTCCAGGTAACGAGATGGCGCTGCTGAGTGGTCTGTGCGACGCGAACCAGAAGGCCCTTCAGAAATGCAAGAAGGTGCTGTACGTGATGTACTCCGAGTCCAGCATCCGGGAGAGGCTCAAGATCTGCCGGAACACAAGCGGTGCTCTACAGGTGGAGCGGACGTTCCTCATCACCAGCAGCTCGCTGACGCTCCCAGACATGCCGCGCATCCACTTCGAAGGAACATCCAACGGCGAGTTCGTGGGGCCCGTGGCATGGGCACCTTTCGACTCCTCCGACACGTGGTGCCTTCCCCAGGCCATCAAGAAGACTGTGATCACAAAGACCAACGTGGTTCTCGCAGGGGGCTCGACCTACGCCCCTGACACTACCACCGACGAGAAGAAGGAATCGGAGAAGGAGATCGCCTTCATTCGCTCCTTGAAGAAGGAGAGCGAGCCTGTTTTCTTTCACGCTACGCCGACAAAGTTGTGGGAAGAGATCTTGCGCTGCCACAACGTCAAGGCGGCGGTGGACCTGACCCCTGCAGATGGGGCGAGGGCTCTGGCAGCCATCCGCGCCCGCATTCCTTACGTCGGGGTGGCCTTCAACACTGCCCATCGCGATCAGCTCTTGATGCACATCGACAAGACCGTGCTGAAGATGTTCCAGGTCGAGGGCGACAAGCTTTACCAGCCAGCGTTCGCCGAGCTCTTGAAGGACAGCCCCGTCGAGGAAGCTGGAGCAGATGAGACGAACAAGAAGACCTCTGCTGGCAAGCGCAAGCGCGAGACAGCTCAGAATGGCCAGAAAGAAGATCCCAAGCAGGCTGCAGCTGGTGGTCAGTCCGGTGGGGGCTCCGATGACGCCAAGAAAGCGTTGCTCGCAAGGGTCGCGCCCCTGTCCAAGGGCAAGGCCGACGCCGCGGCGGGCGGCTCCAAGGGCGGCAAGCGCCAGAAGAAGGAGGCGAACGCGGATGAGGAGATGGACGAGGATGGCATCGACGAGCTCGATGATGATATGGGCGAGGCTTGAGTTTTCAGTCCTGGCGTTGATATTCGCCGTCAGCAGGGCGAGGCTGGGGACGACTGCCGCCGTCGTTGTTTCATGATGATCGGGCATTGGTTCTGGTGGTTTTCACCAATGCAGAATGATCTGGTTTCACGATGGCGGCGGCTTTGCCCTGACGGCCTTTCGTTTCAAGGTGGCCAGGTCTGGCGGCAGAGCTAGCGCAATCAAGAATAGGAGGACGAGGAAGATGAGGACGTGGAGGAGAGGGGTAGAGGAGGACGAGGAGGATGAGGATGAGGAGGAGAACCTATGCTTGACATCCTGCCACTGCTACTCCAACTGATCACTCTCTCTTACTTATCCTTCTCGTCATCCTTCTGCTCCGCCGTGCCCGGTGCATCGGATGTTTGCGCAAGCTCGAGCTCGAATGCCGCCGCGCCCCAGAAGGGGCCGCCAGGCTGCGACCGCCAGGAGTAGATAGAGGGGGGGACGGGCGGGGAGAGAAGGAGGAGTGGGGGGGTCATGGGAACGAGCTGCGATACTCCTCAATTGTTTGGTGGCGTGACTCGCCCCTCCTCGGTCGTCCTCCTCCTCCTCTTCGTCCTCGTCGTCCTCCTCCTACTCCTCCTGCCTACTTACTCCTTCCTCCTCGTCTCCTCCTCTACTCCACTATCCACCTCGCTCCTCCTCCTCCTCCGACCACTTAGTCGCGACTCTACTCCTGCGACCCCGGCTCGATGCCACGCCCGCCAGCGAGTCCCATTGCGAAGAAAGCAGAGTAGATCTGAATGAGTGCTTGCAATCTGTGTTTCAATGTACGCTCGGGCACCCATCATCACCGACGCATCGGCGCAGCTTGCTTGGCTCGGGCATCTGGTGACACACATCACCTCTTACTATACGCTGTGCAAACATAATGTCAACCATTAACATCATTCGCATTGGGCCCCTTATACACAAATGTAGGGCATGCGAGTACGTGGACGAAGTGTACTTAAAAATCCCCGAGGGTGAGGCTGGCAGTTTTACGAGCTCCGACACGTTGGAAACGACGGCGGACCCTGATCGTCGTGAAGATCAGCACGGCCAACGTGCGCCGAAATGGTATGAATCTTGGATGTGTCGCCACTGCGGCGAAGTGCACACGGACCGCCGGGACCATTGCAAGCCGTGTTGCGCCCTGCCCAGTGGAACGATCGCAGAGGACCCCACGGAGAACAAATCTCGTTATCCTTCCACCCGGGGGGCCCCCAAGAAGAGAATGCTTAGGGCGATGATGATGAGGAAGAGGAAAAAGGCACATGAGGACGACGATGAGGAGGAGGAGGAGGAGGACGACGACGAAGAGGAGGAAGATGAGAATGACGAGGGGGAGGAAGAAGAGGACATGAGGAACGAGATAACACGTTTCAAACATCCCTAGAACATCCGTAACAAACCATTGATGTATTTCGTGGATGGCATCTGGGTGGAGGACGCACCGCTGGTGGACAAGCGAGCGAGGGCGAGCGAGGCGCCACCTTCACCCCTGGCTGGCGGGCACAGGCTCATCACGCCCCTTTCGCCTCCAAGTCCCCCTCGTCTTCCTTCTTCCTCCATCCTCACCCTCCTCCGTGCCTTCGTCGTCGCCCTTACTTTATCGTCGTCGTGCTCTGCTTCTTCCTCTTCTCCCTCCTCGCGCTCCCGAGGGCAGCGAAAAAGACGAAGCTCATTCCATCTTACGACGGGCAACACTTGATTTCAGCGTCGGAATCATCAGATGATGCGCAGCCCACTGATCCCGGCCCGCGCGGAGCGACTGGCCAGCCAGAGCCCGTAGTAGAGGTGACAGATAGCTTAGTTCATGATTGATCCCGTGCCTCTGCCCGGGGAAGAATGAGTTGCCGTCGTCGTGCGCAGCGGAAAACATTATTTTTTGCGCTCGCCCCCCGCCAGGAGGGGGGGGGAGGAACAAAAAAGGAGGATGAGGAGGGGGGGGGGGAGGAGGAGGAGGAGGAGGAGGAGGAGGAGGAGGACCAGGACGCGGAGCTCTCCTGGAGCGCACTCTGACCAGGATGCGGAGGAAGAGGAGGAGGGGGATGAGGAGGAGGAGGAGGAGAAGGACGCCCACGCATCATCATCGGCACCAGGGCCTTTCCTGGAGCGCCGTCTGACCAGGATGTCGGGGCGAATCCAGCCTTGGAGCGGCGAATCCAGCCTTGGCGAAGAGGTGGGCTCAAGTGGCCACGCAGAGAAATACAAATGACATTCGAGTCCTGGCGCACACGTGTCGCGCGCGCGCCCCCTCCGCCCGCCCAGCTGGAACGTCGTGCATTGCATTGCGCCGCTTTGAATATATGTGGTTCACCTGTTACGTTGCTTGACGTTGCATTGCGTTTGGGAAGCTGGATTTTGGCTTGCGCGCGTTGACTCGCATTGCTTTACGTTTGCATGCGACTCGTGCATTGTATTGTCGCATGGTGCCTGAGCTCGGAAACAAAAAAAAACTGCAATCGGATAACATAACATGAAGATACGTGTAATCCGTAGCCGTTTTGGCTCAAGGGAAATTCATAAATTCAAAGTTCATGTTTGGCCTTTCTTGGTAGCATGGCGCGCTGGGGTTGCCCCGCAGAGCTGGCGCAGGACCTCGCGCAGGGGCCTCCGAGCCCGCCGCTGCGCGATGAGCTGCTCAGGGCACTGTTCGCGGACGCGAATGCTGACGGCGGCGACGCGGTTCGGCGTCGGCGGCGCCGTGGCTCAGCATCGGCGGCTGGGATCGGCTGCGACGCCGTGGCTCGGCATCGGCATGGTACCGATGACGATGGGCACAGCGGCTCGGCGTCGGCTGCGGCGCCTCGGCGGCTCGGAATCATCAGCAGCGCTACTGCAGCAGCGGGGGCGCCGAGGCTTGGAATCGGCGGCGACGATGGGCACTGCAGCTCGGCATCATCCTCGGCGGCGGCGCCGCGGTTCGGAATCGGCGGCGCTGGTGAGCACTGCATCTCGGCATCAGCAACAACGGCGGGGCCACAGCTCAGAATCGGGGGCAATCATGATGGTGCTGATGGTGATGATGCTGGGCACCGCAGCTGGGCATCGGCGGCAAGGCCACGGCCGGTGGCATCACCATCGGCGGCGGCGGCGCCGGGGCTCGGAATCGGCGGCGCCGATGATGAGCACCGCTGCTTTCGAAGCAGAAGTCGGAGCAGAGACGCGAGCAGCAGGAGGGCGGCGGCGACGGCGGGGGCGGAGCCCAGCAGCAATGGCTATGATGGGCTGGCGCGCGTCGCGCGCTGGGCGCCGCCGCCGTCGCCGGTTGAGCGCCGTCGCATTCTTCTGGAGTCGGCGCGAGAAGATGCGATGAACGTCATGGCGCGTGCCATCGCGCGCCATCCGGGGCGCATCCAGGCGCAACAGCCTCTGTTGGACTTGTCGCAAGGCGACCTGCTGCAACGGGTCATCGACCTCCTGCCGCCACGACGTGGGGGGGGAGAAGGTGGAGCGGCATACGTCGGCTCCACCTCCGACCCCGCGTGGCGGTGGGAGGGTGGCTGGTGCTGGCGGTGCGAGCGCAACGCGGCTCACCCTCGCTTGATGCCAACGCGCATGATTGGCCACGGCCAGCGTGGATATCGGAGGATGGTGGTAGTTGTTTCTTTTTCAGACGCAGAGACGGCGAGCATGGAAGCCGCCGTGTTGCGACGCCTGCAAAGCTCGGGAAGGGAGATGAATACCGATGACGCGCCGCCACGGGGAAACCCATCGACACGTTACTACTCATTGGTGAGTTGTCCCTGGGCGCTGATGAAGCGCCTTTCGGCGGCAACGTGTTGATGAGGTCCCCGCGGCGGCGCGACATCATGCATTCATGTTCCCTCCCGAACAGCAAGCTTGCGAACGTAGCCATAGACGCACGCGGCCTTGCCATCAGACCGCTTCTTGCATACAGCTTTATCTATGTGTGCATTCCATGACGATGAGGTTTCATTTCGGCTTACGCCGCCATTCCGCTGGCCCCATACGGTGAGCTACGATATGATGTACCATGCTAAATTACGTTACTTTGATATTAGAATGCATTGCGTTGCTGTGTTACGTACGACGCATTCTATGTCATGAAATGCTGTGCGATGGTGTGGTAGCACGGCGCGTCTGCTATGCGATGCTATGTTGTGGCTGTTACATACTATGGTGTGATATGTTATGACATGCTACAACGTGCTATGATATGAGTGTATGCATCGCTATGATGTGTTACGTATGCCGTGCCATGATAGCCGATGCGTGCATGCGGTGATCTGTGTTGTTTGCGGCGTTATGATATGACATGCTATGTGACGATCTACATTATTTCATGATATTATGTGTTTGTTGTGCTATGCTATGATTTGGTATGCAGTTGGCAACATGCAACGCACTGCAACGCGATGCCATGCAATGTCGTACAAATGTACACACTCGGCAAGAGCGCGCGTTTATCCATGAAGAATTCACCCTCGATTCTTGTGCTGGCCCCTGTGCCCGTTAGACTTGACGATGCGGCCTGGCCTGTAACTGCGCGCGGCCGCCACGCAACCCCAAACGCATGTTCCGCATGAGCTAAGGCCAGCCCAGTGAATCAGCATGCAGCGCCAGCACCAGCAGCACCAGCAGCAGCAGCAAGGGCTGCAGCAGCATCAGCAGGACCAGCAGGACCAGCAGCACCAGCAGCGTCAGCAGCAGCACCAGCAGCAGCACCAGCAACAGCACCGGCAACAGCAGCACCACCAGCAGCACCAGCAACAGCACCGGCAACAGCAGCACCAGCAACAACACCAGCACCAGCACCAGCACCAGCAACACCGGCAGCATCACCAGCCTCCTTGTCCTCGTTCTTCTCTTCCGTCCCCTTTTCCTCTTCGTTTTCGTCGTCGTCTTCGTTCGCATCCTTGCCGCTATCGCCGTCGTCGCCCCCCTCCTAATCGTCCTCGTCGTCGCCGCCCCCCCCTCCTTCTCCTCCTCGACCTCCTCCCGTCGCCTCCAAGCGGGCCCAAGAGATGGCT